AGGTTTGGCTTCTGTGCTTGGCCCTTACCTGTGCTTGGCCCTCACCTGTGCGGCCACGGCCCCGTCTGGCTCCGGGCGGAGAGGGAGGAGCAGGAAAAGCCTCGGGGAAAGCCGGGAATGCGGCACCACCTGCGGGAGCCTCCCAGCCCCGGGTGGGGGAGTGGGGCTGGGGGTGGGGGCATGCAGCTTCCACAAGTCAAACCCAAACCTCAAAACCAACCCAAAAAACCCCCAAAAAAACAAACCAGAAACCAAAACAAAAACCAACCAACCAACAACAACAACAAAAAAAGGAAAATACCTAAAAAATAAAAAACAGAAACAAAAAGAAACTTCACAAAAACCCCACAAACTCCCAAAAACCACCCCAAATCCCCCAACCATTTAAAAATATCCACCGCCACTTCTGTGTCTTCTTTGCATTTTAAATTAGAAAATAAGTCCGTAGAACTCTTCTCTCTCTCACCCTATGTACACGTAGATATCTCTAGAGGTCCGTAAAGAACATCTCGGYGGAAATCCCGGTGCGGGCAGCGATTTTAACTCAGCGCGGAGCCCGCGCTGCCGTTCAGAGTCGTTTTGCGGCCCCGGGCCCCGGGTGGCAGCGGGTGACAGTTCGAGGAGGCGCCGTTGAGCGCGGGGCCGTGCCCGGGGGTGGCGGGGCCGTGCCCGGGGGTGGCGGGGCCGTGCCCGGGGGTGGCGGGGCTGCCCAGGGCCGGGCCGGGGGCGGCCGCTCCCGCGGGGCTCTGCGCTTTGTCGCTGCCCGACTCGCACTCGGAGGCGCCGCTCGTGTTGGTGCCCTCGGATGGCAGCACCGGGCACAGCTTGAGGCGTTTGCAGGCGGGCTGGACACGGTACTTGAGCGCCAGGGGACCGTTCTGGGGACACAGGGCACGGCTGGCATCCCCTGGGGACACCGGGCACGGCTGGCACCCCGTGGGGTCACCGCGGGAGACAGGGCACGGCTGGCTGTACATTTTCATGTTTTTCACGCCTGCAGCCTTCCCAAAAGGAAGATTTCCCCAAAATTCCCAAAAGACAGATTTTCTCAGTTTTCCCCAGGACAGATTTTTCCCAGTTTTTCCCAGG